CATCCGACGGGAGGAAATTCAGCAGCTCTCACTACCGATTTGTAATCCTAATTTAATCATCATCTTCACCACGATCATGTATGTTTATGTTCGCCGAATTGACATGAAAGCACTGACATATATGAATATACTGTAGTCAACTTCATTAAAACGTTATTAACGTGCCTAAACTCAGTAATTCACCATTTCTACGCATGACAACACACTTTGTCCGTGTTTGGCTCTCTCGCCGCAGAGTGAAGCGTTCCCGCATTGACGTCACTTCCGGCTTCCCCCAAAACCTCAAAATGAGTCGAAGGAATTTTCCCGCGATGTTCGAAATTATTGATATTTATCGGAACGGTATCGCTTTTTCTTTTTTAAACTGACGGTTCGAGATTACTAGTAGCCCACTATTTCATTGCACAACAGTTGTTGGGTTCGTGTCACAGGCACTTTAAGCTTATGTATTCAGTCATTATTCAATGGTATACTAAAATCCATGTGAAAAAAATTGCTTCTCACTGTTCTCAGGTCAAATATTTATATGTGATTAAAAATGCGATTAATTTCGATTAATTAATTACAAAGCCTCTAATTAATTCGATTAATTTTTTTAATCGAGTCCCGGCCCTAATTTAAACACTTTGTAAGTATATATTTCTACATAAACTACACTCAAATATACCTTTAATTGTCAGATAAGGATAGTCAAACATTATATAATTACTTTTCAGTGCTCGGAAGGGCCCAAAATAAACAAAGCGATGTTTGAACAGCTGGTTACTGAAGTGTGTCAGGTGAGGATACAGCGCCGGGTTGATCGGGGACTCGTACCTTGAGCAGAAAGACCTTGGACCCGTGAGCTCTGAGGTTCATGTGCTGCCAGGATAGGTATTCATTAACACGAGCACGCTGCTGCAGGTCAGCTGGGTACCAGTGATCTGCCAATGACGACGAGTGTTTCTGCAGCATGTACTTCAGGATCGCCACGCTGCAACACAGACAGCATGGAGAAAAAAGGGGAACCAAGGAATGTTTTAAAATAGTGAAAGTGTTTCACCTCATTGCTTTTGATCTGCACTGGAAATGTAATCAAAAGGCCAGGTAACAGTAATGTTATCTCAATTTCAAAAACTAGGAAATTGTCACAGGAACTCTAAATATTGACATTAGTAGAACTTTTTTAAAGTTTACACTAAATAATCTCTTTAATTACGTTCAACAGCCAGGTTGACGGTGCAGACCTTCCTTCGTCCATTATTTCCACTTCTGGAGATTTTAAGGTAATGATTAGATAAAGCTAAAGTATTAGAAATAATATTTTAACATCACAAACTCAACGAAACACATCTTTAAACCATCATAACTTACTTGCAGGTGTCTTAATATGAAAAGATGGATCAAACGTGGCCATTAATACTGGCTTTGAAAACAAATTGGTATCTAAAAGGAAGTCAACCATTAAACCAAGTCTTTGTTATACCTTTCCGTCAGAACGAAGCTTCCATCCTTCATGACGGGAACCTTCCTCATGACATTGATCTTTCCAAATTCCTCGCTGTACTGTTGCCCTGAGAGAAACACACACAAATCAGAATCACAGATGTGTTTGAATAAAGACAACATTTCAACCAAAAATATAAAAAGTATACATGAATTAATGGGTTCTTCCACCATTTGGCGAAGAAGGGTAAAATTAAAAACATGAAAAAAAGATGGTGTTTTTTTTAACCCTCCCAACAGCTCTGCCCTTCTTTTTTTTTTTTTTTTCTGTCACGTCTCTGTTATACTCGATCACCTCAGGGACGGAGGAATGTTTTGTCTGGATGCTTTGACCTTTGGCCCTCTACATCCCGCTCTCTGTTTGCCTGCAAAGATTGAAGTCTGCCGATAGGTCTGGGTGAGATGTAGCAATGTAAACTAATAGGAGTTTTCTTTTTATGTTAGTGCTTACAGATCAAGTTCAAGGCCTGCGTGCGGGGTGCTCAACTCCCAACATCAAAAAGTGTTAGAGTAAAAAAACACAAAGAGAAAGAAAAGGCTACAAAAACACGACAATGTTCCTTTATCTAAGTCAAGCCATTAAACTCTGCAAACTCAATATAGGGGAACTTTGTGCATATTAACAAATCATATAATAAACTATTTTAAGTCAGAGCTAGAAACTACTTGAACACAAATAAAGTGGAAGTGCATGCAATCAAAAAGTCTCGTCCCTGTATCTTCTGTAGCAATGTAAACTAATAGGAGTTTTCTTTTTATGTTAGTGCTTACAGATCAAGTTCAAGGCCTGCGTGCGGGGTGCTCAACTCCCAACATCAAAAAGTGTTAGAGTAAAAAAACACAAAGAGAAAGAAAAGGCTACAAAAACACGACAATAACTAACCTTGTTGCCGTTTACTTCGTAAGTCTAAGCCAGTTAAAACTCTAGTCAAACTCAACTATAGGGAAAACTTTAGTGCCATATTAACAAATCATATAATAAACTATTTTAAGTCAGAGCTAGAAACTACTTGAACACAAATAAAGTGGAAGTGCATGCAATCAAAAAGTCTCGTCCCTGTCTCTTCTGTGAGATTACCTGCAGAGAGTTCCACCAACTTAAACTCAAAGGGAATCCCGATAGCTTTGGCCAACAGGAAGACGGAACGGCAGGGCTGGGAGTGCAGGTCGAGGTAGAGCTCCATCCTGTCAGAGTCTGAGGCTGCTGTGAGTTCAGCCCTCTCCCACCTCGCCTGTTATCCTCCGTCCGACAGGAACTCCGCCTCTCCTCGCTGTGAGGCTCGTTGATTTTTAAACGGTGGCGACAGTTCAAAGTAAGCAGGCCGTCGTGGTTGAGCGGTCCGACCTTTGGCCTCCGCTTTGCTCAACATTTTGTAAACATTGTGGAGATTATCACATTTGTATCTGCTCGCCGTTCCCCTAGTCTGTAAATAATTGTCCTCTTTGTAATGAGTTTACAGCAAATCATATGGATAAAAGATAAAGATACAAATATGTTATTGTCATTTGATGAGGCTGGCTTTGGCTTAGGTAAGGGAAAGAGATCTAGGGCTGAAGGAATCGTAAAGTTGACTTTAATTAAATGTATTATGTCAACAAATTTCACTCAACTGAATTAGGTTAGTTGAAAGTAATAATATCAAGTTGAACCTGTAATATTTTTTATTTAACTTAATATGATTGCTTTCAACTAACCTAATACAATTATGTGAAATCTGTTGACATAATACATTTATTTAAAGTCAACGTTTTAATTTTTAAATAAGAATTTCAAATCAGAGGGTTGGTATGTTTGTGAAATCCAATTATGGCATTTTATTTTTGCATTGTGCAAAGTGATTTCGTATGTTTTTTGAGTAGAAATCTTGCTGAAACAGATGTTAGCTACGAGAGGCAGGGGAAAATATATTGTTTTCTTGTTGCAGTCATTTTGTAATCCCTTTAAATGGAAGAGGATTAGTTCAAATCCGTGTATCTACCGTCCAATTGTTTTTCTTTATTAAACACGTAAACGGGAGAGCGTTTGAGAGGCCTTTTTGCTTTTTGCTTTTTACATTACTAAATGGTCTAATGGTCATTGGAGCGAGGGGCGGGGCGAAACTCACGGAAGTGATTTCAAAACAAAAGCGGTGATAATATTATTATAAACAAAGGGAAACAAGGTAAATTTAGCGATCACAACGAAAACGGCCAAGACACATATTGAGCCCAGAAAATGAATGTTACTAACGGCTGTAAATATAATAAGCCTATGTCTAAAATTGTTAGGAGATTAGGAGATTTAAACTACACAGCGATTCTGCACTGCGGTCACTCAGCCGTCTCTCGAGTTTGTTTTTTCAAATCAGCTGCTCTTCATTCCTGCTATATTTGACGAGTGATACAAATATGTTTTACCACAAGTTCTTAAGAAAACTGACACTGTTGAACTCGGTTCTAGTTTGACTTCTACCAAAAATAAAATGAAGTACTTTTACTATGTACTTTGTGAGTAATCCTCTGTCAGAGTCCCCTCCATGTTTTTCTGCTGTCTTTGATGAATGATACAAATATAATTTCACCATTAGTTCTAAATGAAATTGATACTATTTGACGTTGTATTAGTTAGCCTACTACTTACAATACATTGAAGTACTTTTACTGTGTATTGTTTGAGAAATACTCTGTCAAAGTCCCCTGCTGAGAACAAAATCAAGCCACTTCTGCTAAGTTTGATGAGGGAATTCTTTTTTGTCATTAGTTCTTCGTGAGATTGATCCTGTTGGACTCAGTAGTGAAACAACCCCCAAAAGTACCATGAAGTACTTACTGTGTACTTTTCCAGTACTCCTCTGTCAATGTCCCCTCCTGAGTACAAGAATGCATATTTCTCTGCTATTTTGAATAAGCATTAAAAAACCTTTCTTCATGAGACTTATATTGTTTGACAGAGTATTTTAAGAGGATGGTAGACATAATATCAGCAATACTTTCAGTCAGTACTCCGGCAGCAGCATTTTAGCCCTTGGAAAGTCTTTAGAGTCTGGCC